CCAGGTACAGCACCTGCACAGAGCCTGTCTGCCCGGAACGGAGCAGACGTGACTTCCCCTTGGTCGTCGGCGCTGCTGGTGGCTGTGGCGTCCCTTCTGGGTACATTGTGAAAGGCGTTAGATGTTTGCCACCAGGCCCGCTCCTCCTCCACACCCCATACTTTTCGCTGAGTCTGGGCTGCTGTGACAACTACCACAGATGGGGTGGCTTCAACCACAGAAGTTTATTTCGCACAGTCGGGGGTTTGGGTCCAAGATCACAGCACCACAGGTTCAGGGTCTGGAGAGGTCCCACCTCGTGGTTCCTGGACGGCGTCTTGTTGCCATAACCTCACGTGGTGGGAGGAGTGAGGGGGCTTCTGGGGCCTCCTTTACAAGGGCACTAACCAGTTCATGGGGACCCCACCCTCCTGACCTAATCACCTCCCAGAGGCCCACCTTCTAACACCATCACATGAATTTGGGGAGGACACACATTCAGCCCCTCTCCTTCCTCACTCTGTCACTGGTTATTTTGCTTGAAAGGAAACCCTGGTATATTTTTAAATTGCCCTGAAACTGAGCCCGAGTGAGCCCAGCAGCCCCGAACTGGCACCTGAATTGGTCCCAGATGGAAAGGAAAAACGATTGTCCTCACTCCCGTCTCTCCTCCCCGAAGGCGGATGCAGGTCACGTGAGAAATGTCTTCCCATTTCCCAGGTCTGATCTCTGAGGATGGTGGCCTGCGTCTCCCACTGAGTCAGCCGAGCGGGCCCGTTCCCCTCAGGGAGCTGTGCAGGGGGGCTGACAGGGGCACGGAGGGGAGGACAAACCCCTCAGATGACTCTGTGAACACACACAGGAGTGTGAGCACACACGGTGTGAGCTGAGCGCGCGCAGGGCTGTGAGCTGAGTGTGCCAAGGGCTGTGAGCTGAGTGTGCCAAGGGCTGTGAGATGAGTGTGCAAAGGGCTGTGAGCTGAGCGCACACAGGGGTGTGAGATGAGTGTGTACAGAGGCCTGGGAAGTGGGCTGCCTCCCGAGGTGAGATGAGGTGGCAGCAGCTGAGCAGACCTGTGGCTGGAGATGTGAGCCGCCCTCCGGAAGCCAGGCAGGGAGGAGCGGGGACAAGAACAGGGAGGAACCCGGAGCCGCCTCCAGCTCCATGTTTAAGGATCCTGGAAACCGTGTAAACGCCTGGGCCCCGGCTCACGGCCCTGGCCCTCAGCCCCGTAGCGTCCCGAGGAGGTTTTTCTAGGAAGTTCTGTTCCGTGGCTGACAGTGCTCGGGCTGTGTCTGTGTTTCGTCACTTTTAGGAACCGGAATTCCTTTATTACCGCTCCGTGCAAATATGAGTTACACGACAACAGCAAGAAACGGGGTGCGACTCCGTGGCAAAGGGCCTTTGTGTGTTTTATAGACCCCAGATCTTCAACGCAAGTTCCCAGTGGGGGTGCTGCCTTTGTGGCAGGGGTGGCCCGAGACTGGTGGCCCGTGAGCAGGGGTGGCCTGAGACGGGTGGCCCGTGAGTAGGAACTCACGGGAAAGGGGCGTGTGTGCAGCCAGCGGCGGCATCCCTGGCCACAGCCGTCCTTCCGTTCTGTTCCCAGGCCCCTGTGTGCCATCTGGGTACAGACACAGGGTGCCCGTCACGGCCGGGCGCAGGGGCCAGGGGAGGCGCTTGTATGAGCCCTGTCCTTGGGGTGAGAATCTCTCGCTCAGCTGCCAAGTGCGAAGAGCCTCGTGCTAGAGAATGAGCTGATCAGGCTGCCACGAAAACCCACTGCCCTCAAGCAGCGGCCTGCAGAGGCCCGAGCCCGGGCGGGCGCCCGCTAACGCAGCCCCGTGCCCGCAGGGACAGCAAGCTCACCATGCTGCTGCGGGAGTCCCTGGGGAACGTCAACTGCCGCACCACCATGATCGCGCACATCTCGGCCGCCGCCGGCAGCTACGCCGAGACCCTGTCCACCATCCAGATCGCCTCCCGAGTCCTGAGGATGAAGAAGAAGAAAACAAAGGTAGGGAGCTGGCGGGGTGGGGGGAGGGGTGTGGGAGCCAGAAAAACCAGCTCAGCAGTCTCCCCGCCACCTGGGGCAGGAGCGTCCGTCACTCCCGGGCCCCACCGTCGCTGCCTTTCGGGGTCATCCAGCCCGGACCCGACCGGGGTACACGTCCACATGGGAGGGACGGAAGGACTCACGCACAGCGGCTCCCACCAGCCTTGGTCCGACGGAGACCAAGACCGTGTCCCGTGTCCCTCAGTGGCTGGCCCCGGACGACTGCTCATCCCTCGCTCAGGTGGCCCTCCCCCTGCGTGTCCAGGAGGCCTTTTCAGGCTGCTGGGCTCTGCCCTGTGAGGTCAGAGGTTGCTGGTTGGTGCTCAGAGTCCATGACACACCCCTGGGCTCACCTGGCGAGGCAGAGGCCAAGCCAGCCAGCGGGGGCGTGAGACGACCGTGTGAGGAAGTGACCAATGGTGGTCGCTCTGATTCAGGGCCGGCTGGTGACGTGGGCTTTCCCCTCCTTTCTGTAGCTTTTCATAAATAACAAGCAAGTCTTTCAAACCAGTGTTTCGTGGGACAAGGTGCCACAGTGACTGGGGGGCCAAGTTCATGACCCCCCGCCCTGAGGAGCTCAGCCCGGCCCTGCTGGTCACCCCTTCAGGAGCAGACTCTGTCCTGTGTGCCACGCACGGGCTGCCCTTGGCACAGGAGGTGCACTGGCCGGGCACAGCCAGGCAACTGCCCATACGCAGGGCGGGCAGCCAGCCCGCAGCCGGGAGCCTATAGCCAACCAGCATCCCTGGGGGTCCCTGGGCGGCTCCTGGGGGGGCCTGGGCGGTTCCCTGGGGGTCCCTGGCAGCTGTCTGGGGGCTCCTGGGGGCCCCTGGGGCAGCCCATGCTGACTGTCCTCTCGCCCACAGTACACGTCGAGCTCGTCGGGGGGAGAGAGCTCCTGTGAGGAAGGCAGGATGCGCAGGCCCACGCAGCTGAGGCCCTTCCAGGCCAGGGCCGCCGTGGACCCCGACTTCCCCGTCCCACAGCTGTCCAGCGACCCCGACTACTCGTCCAGCAGCGAGCAGTCCTGCGACACGGTCATCTACATCGGGCCCAGCGGCACGGCGCTCTCCGACAAGGAGCTCACGGACAACGAGGGCCC